AAAAAAAAAAAGAGGGCAAATTAAATTCTAAAGAAAAAACAAAACCCGGTCCCATATGGCGACCTCCGTCGAGAACCGGCAGTTCCCCCACCTCGAACCGGGCATCCCTCGCCCCTTCAAACCCTCCCACCACTTCCCCTCTCCGCCCGTCTCCGCCGCCGCCGCCGCAACCAATAACGGCGGCAACACTCAATTTTATTACTCCTCCTCGTCTTCCGACGACGAGGACGACGGAGACAAAGTCGAGGAGTACCTCCTCGCCGCCAAAAAAGCCGGCGCGGAGCTCGAGCCGCCGGTCCGCGACGACCTGACCGCCGACGGCTGGATCGACCGGAACCCCTCCATGGTCCGCCTCACCGGGAAACACCCCTTCAACGCCGAGCCGCCTCTCACCCGCCTCATGGACCACGGCTTCATCACGCCGGCGCCCCTCCACTACGTCCGCAACCACGGGCCGGTCCCCCGGGCCACCTGGGACGACTGGACTGTCGAGGTCACCGGTCTGGTCAAAAGGCCGGCACGGTTCACGATGCACCAGCTGACGACCGAGTTCCCCTCCCGGGAGCTTCCCGTCACCCTCGTCTGCGCCGGCAACCGCCGCAAGGAGCAGAACATGGTCCGGCAGACGGTGGGCTTCAACTGGGGCGCGGCGGGGGTGTCGACGTCGGTGTGGCGGGGGGTTCCCCTCCGGGCGGTTCTCCGGCGATGCGGGTTGGCGGGGCGCGGCGGCGGAAAGGGGGCGATGAACGTGTGTTTCGAGGGGGCGGAGGATCTTCCCGGCGGCGGGGGGTCGAAGTACGGGACGAGCCTGAGGAGGGAGGTGGCGATGGACCCGTCGAGGGACATCATACTGGCGTACATGCAGAACGGGGAGAGGCTGTCGCCGGACCACGGGTTTCCGGTGAGGGTTATCATTCCGGGGTTCATCGGGGGGAGGATGGTGAAGTGGCTACGGCGGATCGTGGTCACCACGCGCGAGTCGGATAATTACTATCATTACAGGGACAACAGGGTGCTGCCCTCACACGTGGACGCGGAGCTTGCTAACGCTGAAGGTAATCATTGTCTTTATTTTTTTATTTTTTAGAAAATTGATTTTAGTTTCTTTTATTTAAAAAAAAAAATGATCTATTTTATAGAATAATAAGAGTAATAAATGTTTGATATTTTCAATCCGTTTTGTGAATTATACTATCGAATCATTCTGGTAGTGTAACATTTTTTACATCCCGTTGATGATTTAAAAAGAAATAAATGTCATGACATGTGTATTTATAATCGAGATAATTGATTTTGAAAATATAAGTAATAACATATGTATTTTTGGAAAATCATTATGAATCGATATGTAGCAATACCAATTTTGCGTATTTGGTTCGTTGTTATCATTTATATTTCTCAAATTTCATGATTTAAAAAGAGAATTGTGTGTTAATTGAATTTGCAGCATGGTGGTACAAGCTCGAGTACATAATCAACGAGTTGAACATCAACTCGGTGATAACCACCCCTTGCCACGAGGAGATCTTGCCCATCAACTCGTTCACGACTCAGAGGCCATACACGTTGAAGGGTTACGCCTATTCTGGTGAGTTCCAATTTTTTTTTTTTTTTTTTTAAAAAAAATTGTGTTATTTTATGGCAAAATTGCATTTTGTGCCTTGTAACTATGTATGTGTGGCAAATGTGGACAACTTCTTTCTGGTTTGGCAGAAATGCCCTGAAACTTGTTAAAACCCGGAATTTGTGTCAAATTTACCTACAAGTTACCAGATTTAGGGGTTTTTCGTGTGGCAAAACTGGACAGTAACTTGTTAAAATTCAAAATTTGTGCCCAAATTAGGCACGGATTTTGGTTTTTAACAAGTTTCAGGACATTTTTGCCAAACCAAAAAGAAGTTGTCCACATTTGGCACACATCCTTAGTTACAGGGCATAAAATGCAATTTTGCCTTATTTTATTGAGTGTCCTTAGTACTTAGACCTTCTCCAACCAACCGTACGCTAAAACCAATCGCAAACCTAAAAAAAATCCTCCAACCGAACTGCAAAACCCAACCCAAAATGCGTTCTGCCCCCAATTTCTCTCTCTTCAAACGCAATTTTGCGTTTCCCTGTTCACAAACGCAAAACTTTTATAAAATTGCATTTTTGTCCTTTGCTTTATTATTTTTATTTTACCTATTATATTTAATAATATAATTTATATTTATATAATGGTTTTAATATCATTTAACATATTTTATTGTTTTAATAAGGAAACGATTTATTTATAAGATTTTTAATCAATTTATAATTCAATCCAATATCATTTAATAAATTATATATATATATGGTGTATATCTCCTCTAAAAAATTAATACAAAAATTATGAAAATATTATATTTTCATACATCCGTACAAATTTAGAAATAATTTATCAATATTTTAATAAAAGATTGGTAATAAATAGACACAATATGATTTTTCTATAATTTTTTTTTCAATCAAATTTAAATTAATGGTATGGTCTAATTTGAAAAGTTTGTAAATATGTGTAATTTTACTTATTTAATAAATATTTGATAATTTTTCCTTTATAATTTATTTTAGTACATAAATTTCAAATTGAATTTAAATAACAATGTTGTTTTATTTGTAAAAGTGTAAAATATGTGGATAGTATTGAAAAATTGTAAAAGTTGATGTAAAAGAGAATATTTTGAGAATATTCTTTGAGGTTTGAGAATAAGTTTTTAGGTTGGAGATGGATTACTGTTTGATATGACAGTTAATGCAAAATGAGTTTGAGAATGAGTTTTTTCCGGTTGGAGATGACTTAGTGGTGAAGTACTGTACTATAATTCAATATCAATTTATTGCCCCTGTCTTTTGGTAGTTGTTGAACAGTACCTACGTTAACGTTATTTATTTATTATATATATATATGTGCATTGTTTTTTGTACTTGAGGATAAAATTGTAACAAAATTCTGGTACTTTGAACCGACTTGAGAAAAAATGTGATCTGATACATCACTTTTATATTTAATTAATTTATTGTAAAGGACAACTTTTTATCATACAAAAAAAATACATATTTCTTTGCTCAAATTATTAAATAAAAGGAATTAATATTTTCCACTGATTATGTTCAAAGACATATGTAACTGTCTATTATTAACTTATTTTATAAATGTAAAAATATAATTAAATTAATTGTGATATTTTTTTTTTAATTTTTTTCATACAATACCTGAATACCAAGCTGGTCATTAATTACGGGGACACGATATTCAACAGGAGTGGTCTCCACACTTTTTGGCATATGATAAAGTTAATGGAACTTGTTAGAAATCTGATACCATAATTACTATTTAGTATATTCCACTAAAATATACGGTATCTGCAACTTATCTTATGAACAAGAAATTGAAATATTCTGCAGGAACAAATTTAAAAAATATACGTAAGAACGAGACATTTCGTATTCTTTTCATACATGTTCTATATGTGGACTAGAGTTTATTTAGCAATCATATTCAGACCTATCACCGTCATCTCACACAATATTGGACCTTCCAATTTGATTTTTTTCCAATTTTGTTTCTTTCAAAATTAATGACTTTTGTATTGTAATGGACTAATGTAAATTATATTTGAATAAAATAGGGGGTGGTAAAAAGGTGACTCGGGTCGAGGTGACTTTGGATGGCGGCGAAACTTGGCGGGTTTGCGAACTTGACCACCCGGAAAAGCCCAACAAGTATGGAAAGTACTGGTGTTGGTGTTTTTGGGCTCTGGAGGTCGAGGTGCTCGACCTCCTCAGCGCTAAGGAGATTGCGGTCAGAGCTTGGGACGAGACCCTCAACACCCAACCGGAGAAGCTCATTTGGAACGTCATGGTACGTTTATATATTATATGATAAGCCGTGATATTGTTCTTCCTATATATGTGTTAGATGTGTAGATATACATGATTTATACATATAAATGTAGTTAAAACGATCATTTGATAGCATGTTCCAAGTCATTTCAACTTGTTGGTTGACTGCACTGCAGATTTTTTTTAATCGATATGGTATATGCGTCTGTGTTGACTTAATCGAAGGATATAAAACCCGCGAATGTAGTCATCGGTAAGGTTGAACCATCGTCGTTAACATATCTAAAAGGCAATTGATCACTTTAATTTGCACCTCCCTTCTATTTTTATAGAAAAGGTGTTACTATAGAAAAGTCCATGTTCAATTAATGGCACCTCATTTGCTTCTAAGTCAACATTTTCACTCCCTACCCATTTTCATCCTCATTTTTCCATAGACAAGACTCATAACCATAGTAAATGACCTAAAAACCTTGTGATGACTACATTGACATATTTTTTGAACCACAAACATTGGTGTGTACGTAATATTGATATTTCATATCCTTATAGGGCATGATGAACAATTGTTGGTTCCGGGTCAAAACCAACGTGTGCAAGCCCTGCCGTGGAGAAATCGGGATCGTGTTCGAGCACCCAACCCAGCCAGGCAACCAATCGGGTGGCTGGATGGCTAAGGAGCGCCACCTCGAACAGTCCTCCGGCGACCTCAAGAAGAGCCTCTCGTCCCCCTTCATGAACACCACCTCCAAGACCTACTCCATGGCCGAGGTTAAGAAGCATAACTCCCCCGACTCTACCTGGATCGTCGTCCACGGCCACGTCTACGACTGCACCCCATTCCTCCGCGACCACCCTGGCGGCGCCGACAGCATCCTCATCAACGCAGGCACTGACTGCACCGAAGAATTCGACGCGATCCACTCCGACCGCGCCAAAAAACTCCTCGAGAACTACCGCGTCGGCGAACTCTTAACCTCCGCCGGTTTCACCTCATCCCCCGACAACTCCCTCCACGACCCCTCCCCGTCGACCCTCCCCCCTATAAACGAGATCTTCTCACCGACCGCCCGGCCCACGACGCTCGATCCACGCGAGCGTGTCCCTGTTAAGCTCGTCTCGAAGACCTCCCTCTCGCACGACGTGCGTTTACTCCGCTTCGCCCTCCCAGGGGAGGACCACGTGCTGGGTCTTCCCGTTGGTAAGCACGTTCTCGTGTGCGCAGAGATCGACGGGAAGCCCTGCATGCGCGCGTACACACCGACGTCAGACGCCGACTCGACCGGCCACTTCGACCTCGTCGTGAAGGTCTACTTCCGCGGGGTCCACCCGAGGTTTCCCAACGGGGGCGCCATGTCGCAACACCTCGACAAGCTGCAGATCGGGCAGTTTGTCGAGGTGAAGGGCCCGTTGGGCCACATCGAGTACTTGGGCCGTGGGAGCTTCGTCGCGGGTAGGGAGCAGAGGTCCGCACGGAAACTGGCGATGATCGCCGGCGGGACGGGAATCACGCCGGTTTATCAGGTGATGCGGGCGGCGATCAAGGATTCGGAGGACACGACAGAGATGCACGTGGTGTACGCAAACCGAACGGAAGACGATATTTTGTTGAGGGACGAGCTCGACTCGTGGGCTCGGAGGTACCCGGATCGGGTCAAGGTGTGGTACGTGGTGCAGGAGAGCGTGAGGGACGGATGGGAGTATAGTGTCGGGTTCGTGACGGAGGAGATATTGAGAGAGCATATTCCGGCGGCCGGAGACGAGACGTTGGTGTTGGTATGTGGGCCGCCGGCGATGATGCAGTTTGCGGTGAACCCGAGCTTGGAGAAGATGGGGTTCGATCTCAAGAAGTCTATGCTCGTGTTTTAAGAAGAGGGTTTCAACTTTGAACTGGATTTGGTAGTCAAGTGTGAAAATGGGAAAATGTGGGGGTGTTTTTTGTAATAAAAAAATGGTGGTTTTTAAGTTTTTTGTAGAACAATAAGAATGAAGGAGCAGTGTGGGATATGTCCTGAGCTAGTGGGACATTTCATGTTTTTTATTTTATTTTACTTTGGTTTTGTAATTTCTAAGTTTGTTTTAAAATTTTTTTTATCCCCCTTAAATCTCAGTCTTTTATATTTTCATTTGTGAGAGTTTTATGAATTTGGGCTGTGTGGCAGTTTGTAATGTAAAAGTGAAGTTCATCAATGCATTTGAAGTTTTTATGAAGTTCATGTTATCATCATTGATTTGAAGTTTATTTGACTTTTTTTTTTTCCCATTAATTTGTATGGTAGCACAATGACCGTCCAAAAGTTAATGAAGCCAAAAAGTTGAAAACCCCTACTTTTATAATATACTTTTTAATAATATAAGACAATAATTTTAACCTATTTTTATTAGAATTTTAATTCTTTTAGTATATTCTATTATTCAAAAGTATTGTTAACGGTTTTAGATCCATTTGATTAGCTGGAAATAAATTATATTGTAAATGAGTTACCATTGAACGATAAATGAGTTAGGTATAATAATTAAGTTAATTTGTAAAATTTTAGATAAAAGTACCGAAATATAAAACCAAACTCGCAAGTCTAGAAATATCCATTGAAAAAATGTTTGATAATTATGAAATTGTTTAGAGGCTTCATAAATTTATATGACAAGTTTCAAAGGGTAATTTGGCCAGCAAACGTTACGTCATTGGAATATGTATGTATTCACGATTCATCTAATTTGTTACATTTTTTCCACGCAATTGATCCAAGATACTAATTAGTTTAATACTAACAAAATACGATTTAATTATGAAAACTTAGAGCATGTTTATAAAAATTTTTGGTTTTATTTAGAGCTTTTGGTTTGGTTTGGTTAATTTTAAGAAAGGTGGTATGGTTAGATGCTAGTGGGTATATTAAAATAGTATTTATAATAAAATAATTAAAATTGATTTGATATAAAAATAGGAGAGAGAGATTTGAAGTGATGGTTAGTTAAAATAATGTGAGTGGATGAATAGTGAATTAAGGTTGATGTGGTTGTATGAATGATTGATTGATATTATTTAATTATATTGATAATTTTGATGATAGTGGAGTTGAGTTAAAATTGAGTTAAAAAAAGTGGTTGAATTAAAATGTTGATATTTTTTTGAGAAATTCCATAAACATACATCTCTTTACTTTCACCGTTATGTCATTGAAATTTCTAACATTTTTCTCCACTCAACACAATTTTTTTTTCAAAAATAAAAATAAATCCAGACCCTCTATAGGATTAAATATTTTGGGGATGTTTGGATATAAGATATTATTTGATTTTTTTTGCTAATTAGAATTAATTTTGAAAAATGTTGTATATTGTTGTTAATGATATTTTGAATTTATATTAAAATAATAATATTTAAAATAAAATAGTTAAGTTGATTTGATTAAAAGTAAAAGAGAAAGCGATGTGAAGTGATAATTGGTTAATATTGTGTGAGTGAATGGATAGTGAATTAAAATTGATGTGATGTATAATGATGATTGATTGACACTACAACAAAATGATCAAATTCCAACGGAAAGTTCCAATACAAATATATATGAATGGAATTCCAACGAAAATTCCAACAAAAATATTCCATTGGAATGAGTTTTCCATTAGAATTTCCGTTTGATTTTGAAGATTCCAACATTAGATTTTCCAACAGAGGTGGAAATAAAAATTTCAACGGAAATTGCATAGTCCAACGGAAATTCCTACGGTAAAAAACCGTTGGAAAAATAGCCGTTGGAATCATCAAATTCCATCTAAAATTCCAATGGAAAATTCATTCCAACGGAATATTTTCGTTAGAATTTCCATTTGAATCATTTCAACGGAAGCTATACCATTAGAGTTGAAATTTTTGTTGGAATATATTATCGTAGGATTTTCTGTTGGAATATGACATTTTTTTTGTAGTGTGATATTATTTAGTTATATAAATAATATTAAAAATACTAAAATTGAATTAAAATTAATTTAAAAAAATATTTAAATTAAAAATATTTAGATATTATTGAGATATCTTACATCCATGCAAGCACAGAGTGCTTATAAATTATAATTCTAATTCTAGCCACTCTCAAGTCTCAAACCAATCATCCCATTACAGGGAATAAATAAATTAAATAAATAAATCTATGCAAGATAACAATCAAAATAACTAGAGATGTTAAATGGTCTTTGGCTAGACGGGCCGGCCCGTTTAACCCGGAAAAAAACAGGATTAGGGTCTTTTATTGGCAGCCCGTTTAAATTTGGGCTTTTAGGCCCGAACTGTTTAGCCCAAAGCCCGCTAGAGCTAGCCCGTTTACGGGCTGGGTGATGTATATGTTTTTAGAACGAGGAATATGTCCCATGATTCCTTGTATGTTACAATTTTGGTATTCTACTTCACATGTAATTATGAGTTATAATGTATTATTGTTATTTTGATAGATAATTATTAACAAATTTTATTATATTTCACCGCAAAATATTTACGTCAATCAGAACGGCTAATAAAAAATAAATGAGACAAAGGCCTAACACATAGAATATAGTGATAGAATATAAATTCAACAGTATGCTATATTATGAAAATTTCCGAAGCGTACCAAATAACTAGTCAAATGTTAGTTATAAGTAATAGTTCGTACATTTCTTTTTCTATTGAGAAACAATATGTTATTTAAGAATTTGTAATGTGTGTTCATATATGAAGTGTAGTTGTATATATATAGTGGTAAATATTAAATAGCCGTTGAAAAAACCGTTAACTAGGTGTTGTAATTTTTTATTTTCATTATTATTATTATTATTATTATTATTATTATTATTATTATTATTATTATAGCCCGTTTAGTCGAAGCTCGCTAGATTTAGGGTTAGATCTTTTTATTGGTAGCCCATTTAAATTCGAACTTTTTAGGTTCAGACCGTTTAACGCGAAATTCATTAAGACTAGCCCAAAACTACTAAGACTAGCCCATTTAACATCTCTACAAATAACATAAAAAAAAAAACAGCACATGTTGGACACATTTTTCAATTTGGAGGAATGGGACACGTAATTGTTGGCTGCTGTGACCTTGGAAAGTCACCAACTTCTGCTCCTTTTTAGTTGGCCAAAGACCAAATTAATATTTTTAATCTTTTCTTTTTTTATTGCATTTTTTTAGTGCATTGAAAGGGCATCGCACTTTTCTCCGCAGCTCAATTTAGATTGACCCCTAACGTCATCTATCATAATCACGTGTAATTTAAGAACACTTTCTCGTGTAAGAATACTAACCCCCACATGGGAATGATATTTTGGGTGTACTTAGTTATGAATTTTATTGATTTTTTTGTTAAACATAGTAAATTTTGAAAAATAATAATATGATTAGTTGTTAGTGGAAGTTTAAATTTAAATTTAAATAATATTTAAAATAAAATATTTGTAGTTGATTTGATGTAAAAGTATGGGAAAAATAATTGGAAGTGATAGTTAAAATTATACGAGTTGATGAATAGCGAATTAAAATTGATGTGATATGTAAGAATGATTGATTGATATTATTTAATTATATTGATAATATTGAAAATAGTAGAATTAAGCTAAAATTGAGTTAAATTTGAGTTTTGATTAGTTTTTTTATTCATTTGTAGACAACAATCTCCCAAATAGATTATGTGATAGACATTTGTAAACTAGTTCAAGTATAGATTATGTGATGACATTTGTAAATTAGTTCCAGTGGTACTGTTAGAATAATCAAAAGGTATAATTGTGCTCTTTAATACACATTTGCGANATTTTGTTGTACTATTTTATTCTCCTGGTTCCAAACCACAGAAGTCCTAAACCACGGGCCTTTCAATTAACAATGCTCTCTCTCGTGCTAGTTGCAACTGACTGGGCTCGACTGTATATATCTATAAGATAAATATACTTATTTACTTGTACTGTTTTTTCCATCAATTTAATCAATATAATTTGTTAAATTAAAAACAAACCACTATTACATATTTTTCATAAATTTTACTATTAGTTCACTCACAATCAATCAGTATTTCTATTTTCAAGCACATTAGTTTTAATAATTCTCTATCCACATCGGAAAATTTAGACATAATTAGTTTTTAGTTTTACCCTCAATGTTTTTTGTTTATTTAAGACTTTTTTTTAAAGTACAAGAATAATCAATAATTCCAACATGAAATGACTTGTGAGTGGAACCAAAAAAAATCGAATAACGTCAACCTTAGAGGTAAACACAGTCCATTGCTTGAGTGATATAACAAATGAGCCGAATAAGTTATGGATGGGCCAAAGAATTAAATTTTGGGCCTTCGACTACTAACTATTGCTGGGCTGCAATAGACCAAAAATAGACCGTGGGCTTGGCTAACCGTCTCTTAATTTAAGGACACGTTTACGGTTGAGCCCCAAATCATGTTTTGCACGTGCCGAATTGTACGGTACCTAATACTTCAACACTGGCTTGCATTTTTACATTTATAGACACCAATTTATTCTTTTGTTTTACTCAAAATTTTATAATATTGTAATCACATTTTAAAACTAAATTTAATATACAAATGTATTACACGTGTAGGGTTGTTATTAGCCGAGCCAAGCTGAGAACTCATGTTCAAACTATTTAAATTCATGAAAACTGGAATCAATTTAGCTCTTTAAATGAGTTGTTGGCCAACTATTTAATAAACAAGTTGGATTTGTTGTTGGAATTGTGACTAGTCTAAAAATAAAACAAATAGGCCAATCAATCTTGTTAACTTTGTTCACCAATTAAAGGGCATAAAATACACACACAAGAACACAACCACTTGAAGAGAGAGAGAGAGAGAAAGACCAAGTTCGTCTTTCTATTTTCATTTTCCTATCAATTTTTCGACCAACAGAGACGAGGAAATGGATGGTGGGGCTCAGCCGGCGGACACCGTCATGTCGGAAGGTCAGCAGCCGCACCCGCCACCGCCGCAGCAACCCCCAATCGATCACATACCGGCGACGCTCAGCCACGGCGGCCGATTCATCCAATACAACATATTCGGCAACATATTCGAGGTCACCTCCAAATATAAACCCCCAATCATGCCCATTGGAAAAGGCGCGTACGGCATCGTTTGGTACCTACCTTCTCTTCACCTCAAGCTTTTGGCCCTTGTGATGATTGTTCTAGGTCTGATAATTTATTGGTTTTTTGGGTATTTATTTGAAAAAAGCTCTGCTTTGAATTCGGAGACGAATGAGCATGTGGCATTGAAGAAGATAGCGAATGCTTTTGATAATAAAATTGATGCTAAGAGGACTCTGCGTGAGATCAAGCTTCTTCGGCATATGGATCATGAGAACGTCTGTATCCTCTCTCTGTATCTCTGTATATATGCACAATTTTTGCACAAATTGTGCGATTGCGTCACTGTTGAAACAGACTTTATCTATGCGCGCCCGTGTCTTATCTTTTGTGTCAACGATGTTGTGAATGGAGGACTGGATTTTATTGTGTTTTTTGATTGTTTCATGTGATATTGTTCTTATTGCAGAGTAGATTGTTGACCGAAGAATGTTTTTTATTTGAAAATTGGATAGTTTTGTCATGGGTTTTTGTTTCTTCACGTTTGTTTGATAAAAATGTGGTTTCTTTTGCCCTTGTTTGGTTATATTTGTTGTCTCCCATATTGAGAATTATAAGAAAACCAGACAGAATTGTATGTTTTCTCCGGCCTTGTTCTGTCTAAGAACTTTAGAGTACATAAAAAAACTTAGCTAGGAACAAAAGAGCTGTTCAACTAGATATTATTTAGAGAAAGACTACTTGTTTTCGCCCCAAATAGTTTCTTTCTAAGAGAAGGATTCGAGTCCCCAAAGTTTTTAGTGTAATGTCTCTGATTACGCTAACTTGAACTAAGTGGATCTTAGATAAGTTGTTATAACTTGGCATCTTCTAGTCCACCGCTTAGTTTAGAGTGTAAGTAAATAATTATAAGGGAGATTAATTTTCTTGATTGATGAAAATCTTGTTTGCCACACAGGTTGTTGCAATTAGAGATATAATTCCGCCGCCCCAGAGGGAAGCATTTAATGATGTTTATATTGCATATGAGCTTATGGACACTGATCTGCACCAAATCATCCGTTCAAACCAAGCACTGTCAGAGGAACATTGCCAGGTTCTATTTTGATGACTATTTTTGGAGTTCCACATACATCGAGTCAACAACTATTCGCATTGTTTTTCGTAGAATCATGAAGTTCTTTTTGTATCTTAGCATGGAGTTTTAAGATAATGGATATCTCATGATGTTTATTATTATTGTTTGGTTAAATTATTTAATTCATGTTTTCCATGAAATCTTGGGAATTCATTTGAAACCATAATTAGAAATTTAGTTTTTTTTAAGCTTTTCAGGTGTAAAGCAGGATCTAACTCGAATGTGCAAATAGTATTGCCTTTCAGTTACAAGCATATAAGTGTTAAGTAAATCTATTATTAGATTGCTTGGATTCATCTANACCAGAAAAAAAAAAAAGAAACAACAATCAGGTTCTTCAAGGATTCTTCTAACAATTCCTGTCTTGATTTTCTTTATTCATCATATTCGCTATGACCAAAATGTCGAAGTGTTTCTCGAACATATATTGCTTGTTTTTAATCCAGTTGGTGTATTTCTCGAATATCGATATTTTTGTATCGATTAAAAACTTTTATTATCTTCTGCTTAAAACTATTTTCCTGTGTTTGCACAGTATTTCTTGTATCAGATTCTGCGTGGACTGAAGTACATACACTCAGCGAATGTTCTGCACAGGGATCTCAAGCCCAGCAACCTTCTCCTGAACGCGAATTGTGACCTCAAGATTTGTGATTTTGGGCTGGCCCGCGTCACATCTGAAACCGACTTCATGACAGAATATGTTGTCACTAGGTGGTATCGGGCCCCAGAATTGCTGTTAAATTCATCCGATTACACTGCAGCCATTGATGTGTGGTCAGTCGGTTGCATCTTCATGGAATTGATGGACCGTAAACCGTTATTTCCTGGTAGAGATCATGTGCACCAGCTACGTCTTCTTATGGAGGTATCATTTTTTTTCTTTTTTAATTTAAGTGTCAATTTTTTGTATTATAATACTAGTTAAGGTGATCCTTTTTCTTTTGCAGCTAATTGGCACACCATCCGAAGCTGAGCTGGAATTTCTGAACGAAAATGCAAAAAGATACATTAGGCAGCTCCCTCCTTACAAACGACAATCATTCACTGAGAAGTTCCCACAAGTGCACCCTCTCGCCATCGATCTTGTCGAGAAGATGCTCACTTTTGATCCTCGACAAAGGATTACCGGTAACAAACAAACGTCTTTACAAATTACAAAATGACCCATAAATTTATCAAAATTAGGTACACTACTGTCGAACAGTTTGGCCAAATAGAGATATGTGGGGAAAAAAAATCCTAGAAATGTGTTCTCTTTTTCACAAATTGCTCCTGATATTTTTCGGCAAATGCAAATCTTAGATTCTTTTATTTTTATTTTTTTTTCTGCTTTTGTTTTTTGCCATCATATTTATATTTGTATATGTTATCAGTTGAGAATGCACTTGCCCACCCGTATCTTAACTCTCTCCACGACATAAGTGATGAGCCTGTTTGCATGACCCCTTTCAACTTTGACTTTGAGCAACACGCTTTGACCGAGGAACAGATGAAGGAGCTCATCTACCGGGAGGCTCTCGCCTTCAATCCTGAATATATGCCCATGTGATGAAGAAGTTTCGAACGCAAACAATCAAGGTTATCACAAATTGTTTTGTTTGATTTTTCTTCTCAATTTCACGGCAGTGTGTGGTTGACTATATGTTGTATTTTGATCTTGGGATCGATTTCTTGTACATATAAGCTGTGTTCAAAACTTTAGACGAGCTCCGGAATTAGAGACTTGAATATCCTGTAATGTCTAGCATGGTTTATGCTCATATTGCTAGTGTTGTTAAGCAGGAAAAAATAACCTATGATTTTTATGTGAGTTAACTGGCTTGTATTTTGGATTTATGGAAGAAGAGCTGACATCCTGTATTTTTTGCTTGCAAGAACATTTGAGGTTATTATTTTGGCTGGTTTTATTATATAATGTGTACTACATTTCAAGTCCATGTCTTCTTCATTTGTAAAATAAGAAAATAAATGCAGAGGCAGAGAGAATAGATGATATCTTGATTAAAAACATGGGATAGTTAATCATTCAACNAAAACCATGTTTCCATTTCACCCAAGCTATATCTATTATTATCATTATTCAACACAAGAATTGAATAATAACAACAATAGACCACTTAGAGAGACTTGTGAATAAAACACAGGCAGCTCACCAATCACTAGAAACCAAAAGCCCAAACTACACAACAGACAACATATATCTACTTAAGTTCAAGGAAGAAGAGACCAATCAAGTCAAATCTTGGTCAATGCAGGCCCTCGAGCGAGCCCAAATTAGCAAGACACGACTGGCTAGCGTTTGATCCATTACGAGGCGGGTCGAGAACAATGGGCAAGAATTCCGGGTTATCGCACTTGAACCTCGAGTCCTTGAATTTTTCGATTAGAGCTTTTTGGCCCTGAAAGAGTTGCCCAAAATCACTTGTTGCATTATATTGAAACTAAACAAGATCTCAAATTCTCAATCGTTTGAAATAAAAAACATAAATACAAATATATATATATATACACCTATAATATACCTGAATCCGGGCCCACGTGATGTCGCAAATTTTCTTCGAAGACATGGGGCGGCCCGAGTCATAAACCGTTTGCCACTTGAAATCTTGAAGGGCTGCCTTGAACTTTAGGGCCGAGAAGCGACTCGTAAAGTTGACGAACGCATAACCTAAATTGTCCTTTTTCCTGTACATCATTTCAAATTTGTAAGGCAAAGAAAGAAGCAAAATTTGTTAGCTAGTTAGAAAAACTATGCTAAATGTTAAGCCATAATATCATTTTCTTGTTTTTTTACCTGAAGTCCATAGGCAAATAGAAGAAGTCATATTCAAGATGGTATGATTTGCAATACTCATCAAGAAACTTGAGCATGTAGTCCCTCCTGTTTTTAAAAA